GTTGAAATTTCAAGTAAAGGTGCAGGTATGTGAAGTAGTTCCATAGCATGCTGTATAAGCACTATTGACCCCGTTCGACCTATACCAGCGGAACAGTGCACAATAATAGGTGCACTCAAACAATATAGCTTTTATTCTATTACAATTCCTAAGAATATTTCTTACGTGTTCTCCTTAAGTTTAGCCAGGAGTACAATTGGTGCCAAGTCCGCATCTGGCACACCACGATCGGGCCAATCTTGCCAATGATAATGCATACAAGTATGCAGTGGCTGTCCTGGCACACTGACTTCCAGTGTCCGTACGAGTATACGTATTCGAGTTTCAAATGGGAATGGGAACTAAAGTAGCGACTACTTCAGCTGATCTTTTCCAAAAATACAATGGTTAATCTACGGGCTCTTGCTTCTTCAACGAGACAATGACTCCTTCAAAATTAAGCGGCCTATCTTCTTCAACAGGAAAATATTCGGCACATTTCTTTGCATTCTGTAATAGTAAAACTACTGCATTAATTTAATCAAAATTAAAAGATTTTCTGACTTGTTCCACAAAATTGCAAAGCATGAGAATTGCTACAGATTTCTCTTGTACAACCATATACCAAAAATCAGGGCATGTTTTTGGAAGAGGTGCCTGCAAAAACACGAGTAAACCTTCCCTCAAACCTCTTATCGCTAATTGACCTGTGTGCAAATAAACCGCTTCGGATTGGTAGGAGAGGATACATAGTTTGCGTGAATATAAGAAACAGGACCTATTCGTATGATGACACGATCCTTATCTAAGCATCCAACATCCTAGAAGACTGGACTAGAGCTCACATTGTGCAGTTATTTATCAGACCGTGGTCATCAACAAAGGCTTAGCCCTTAGGGTCATCTCATCCGTCACTACTACCTTATAGCGATTCCTTCCCTGAGGATTTTGCGCAAGAAATTCGGTCATTTTTGAGAAGTCATTCATGCGTTTCATTGATTTGAATTCTGCTATAAGTCCTCTCACACCTTTTCGAAAAGTTTCTTCTACGAATACTTTGACCTGCAATCTTTTTACAATCTTTATGTTCTTCTCATAAAAGTGAAATCAAGGTGAACCTGTGCCCGTTTCGCCGCTTTCGAGACACGACGTACAGACGTATCTTCGGCACTCCGCCGAGGCACCCCTTGCGGAGACGATTGTGTAGAAGTTCTGAAAATTATGAAAATGGACTAGCCAAGCGCTAGTTCAGAATCAAAGCATAGAACGATTAAG